GAAAACCCATCTGATCTAGTCCCTTCCCTTGGTATTCAAAAAAAAAAAAAAAAGCTCATTAAAAGTGACACAAAACAGAACTTATATTGCCAGGACCTTCGATACAAATGCCTCCAGGCTGGATGGATAACATCTGGGTAACAGCATGATGGAGCAGGTGCGGGACCAAGAACAGCACCTGCTCATCTAACACCTTGTCCTACTTTCTCAGGCATAAATACTGGGATGGAAAAGCCACTTGCTGTGTCCTGCTCAGGCAGCCGCGGCTCCCCTGAGACGTGTCACCTCGTGTCTCCTCCTGACGTGTTTGGCTGCATCGGCCAACACGGTCTTGCAGAGTCTCGAGTTCAGGCCTGCTCCCTTTGGGGATTTCTCGGACCACCACCTGTGCCCGGACCACGATCTCAGCTTTGGATGCTAAATGTGGATCGTGAGCTGATCTTTCTTCTCTCCCGAGGAAGATTTAAGGTAAGGGCCCACATATTGCTCCATCCCTAGAGCTTACTGCTTTAACCTTTGTCTTCTGTGCATGCTACTCTGCTCGCACCTCATCTGTCCAGTCTGCTTTGTTGTCTGAGTGTTTTCTCCTTTCTGAGATCAAAAGCCAAAACTGTTCTACCCCTTGGATACAAGTGTTTAAGGTTCATGAGAGGCTGAGTGTGGTAGCACATAGCTGTAAGACCTAGCCACTTGTGAGACAGAAATAAGGAAGACTATAGTTTGAGGCCAGCTTAGGCAAAAGGTTAGCAAGACTTCATCTCAAAAAACAAGCTAAGCCAGGCACCAGTAGCTCACGCCTATAATCCTAGTTACTCAGGAGGCTGAGATCTGAGGATTGTGGTTTAAAGCCAGCCTGGGCAGGAAAGTCCATGAGACTCTTATCTCTAATTAACCACTAGAAAACCAGAAGTGGTGCTGTGGCGCAAGTGGTAGGACATTGTTCTTAAGCTGCAGAGCTGAAGGACAGCACCCAGGCCCAGAGTTCAAGCCCCACAACTGACTCAAAAAAAAAAAAAAAGCTAACTGTGGTATATACCTTACCTACACAATAGGTATAAGTAAGAGTATCATGTCCAAGGCTGACATGAGAAAAACAAACTATCTGATAATGACTAAAACAAAAAGAGTTAAAGAAATGGCTCAAGTAGTAAAGTGTTTGCTTAGCAAATGCAAGGCCCTGCGTTCAAACCTCTAGTACTTATCTCCAAATAATCAGAGAGATCTTGAATATATCACCAAATGATGTACCTCAAGGTCGTAGAAAAACAAGAACAAGCCAGTCAAGAAATTCATAGATAAAAGAAAAAATAAAGGTAATAAAGACTGGAGTTAAAATTAATGAAACAAAAACTAAGAGAATAATACAACGGATCAATAAAACTAAGAGTTGGTTCTTTGACAGAATAGGCAAGAATGACAAGCTCTTAAATTACCAAATGAAAAAGTGGAAAGACTCAAATTATGCCAGGCACCGGTGGCTCATGCCTGTAATCCTAGCTATTCAGGAGGCTGAGATCTGAGGATCAGAGTTCAGAGCCAGCCAGGGGAAGGAAAGTCTGTGAGCCTCTTCAATTAACCACCAAAGAGCTGTAAGTGGGGCTGTGGATCAAGTGGCAGAGCACTGTCCTTGAGCATCAAAATCTCAGGGACAGTGCCCAGGCCCTGCGTGCAAGCATCAGTATCAGCACAGAAACAAACACCTCCCAACAAAGAAAAGCCTAGGACCAAATGGATTAATGCCTGAATCCTATAGGTCTTTAAAACAGGACTTCCACCAACATTCCTCAAAGTATTCCATAAAATACAAAGAGATGAAATGCTTCGAAGCTGGATAAGGATACAGGAGGAAAGGAAAGCTACAGATCAGACTTCCTTGACAAATATGGATGCAAATGTCCTCAACAAAATGCTTGCTAACTCAAGCTGGACATGGTGGCTCACACCTGTAATCCTAGCTTCTAAGGAGGCTGCAATCTGAAAATCTGTTAGGAGGCAGCCCAGATGGACAAATCTATTAAACTCTTCTTCTCAATCAACTAGCAAAGGCGGCAGAGATGAAAGTCACTAAAATGGTTTCAAGCTCTAATACCAGCACAAAACCCAAAAAGCAAACAACTTTGCAAAGCCCTGTTCATCCACTTGAGCCACGTCCCTAGTCCTTTAGCTATTTCTCTGTTTTTTGGATAGGGTCTCACACTAACTTCGCTCAGGCTGGCCTCAAACTTTGCTCCTCCTCCTACCACTTCCCAAATAGCTGGGATTACAGGTGTGCACCACCACACCCAGCCCGAGGCCACGGTTTTTAGTATCCCACCAGAGGGCTCCTCAGGTTGTTACTGAGGTTGATGGAAAAAGGCCAATGTTACCAGCCCTCTAGCCTCATTCTGGGCTCTATCGCCCCCAAGTTGTCTATCTCTACCCTTACTTGTCATTCTACCCCCAGCTTCTCCTCCAGCTACTCAACCCCTTAACTCTTGTAAGGGAAAGAGTTAAGTCCCACTGCTGTGGCAACTCTTGGCACAGCCATATACCATCCAAGCTCTAGTAATAACACATGCCTTTATGGGAAACAGCTGCAGCAGAGACAAACAGTAAGTGTTGATCTGCCTGTCTCTCTGACAGACTTGGTATGAAGCAAAGTTAAACGAAGATGCTTCCGGGGATCCTGAAAACTTCATAGGTGAGTTTCAATCATTCACTCCTTCTTTGGCTCTAGCCAGAGCAGATTTACACGTTGTACTGTCATGCTAGGTAGGAGGTTGGTTGGTGGTGGTGGTGACTCAAGCCTGTGGGCGGTGAGTGAAATCTATTGGACTGTTGCAGTACTAAATGTTGACCCTAGGTGGTGGTGTCAGCCTGGAACTACTCACTTGAAACTGAAGAAATAATATATATGTTGTATGAAGGGAATAAAAAATTAATGAGCAAGCTTGTCAGTTATGACAAGATTAATCACTCAGTCTAAAGATGAGACCCCCATATGTGTTTTGGAACAGATTAACGGAGAACCTGAGGAAGTAATATTAACTCCAGGGCCTTAACAAATATGCCTGGGAACTGCATTTATTAGCCAATCCACCACAAATATCCATCATGAGTTATGACCATAAATTCCAATTGATCTGTTACTCAATTTGGCCTTTGGGGTCTTCAACAATTGAGTCACAATGAAAGAATGACTAAGAGTTGGGAGACAGCAATTACTGGCCAAAGAGGAAGTCTGTCTCTTGACTTTAGGAAGAAAATTCCCTCCTAAAGAAATGCTCCTCATTGGACACCAGTGGCTCACACCTGTAATCCCAGCTACTCAGGAAGCTGAGCTCTGAGGATCGTGGTTTGAAGCCAATCTGGGCAGGAAAGTCTGTGAGACTCTCCTCTCCAATTAAGCATCAGAAACCCGGAAGTGGAGCTGTGGCTCAAAGTAGTAGAGTGCTAGCCTTGAGAAAAAGAGCTCAGGGGCAGTGCCCTAAGTTCAAGCCCCACAAATGACAAAAAATAAAAAAGAGAGAAAAAGACAAGAAATACTCCTCAAGGAAAATTCTAAGAACACAGAGCTAAATGAAATGATTCTAAAGCACAGAAGGGAAATGTTATGACCATAGCTAGCCAAACCGCTGGAGTGCTGACTGCTCCACAAAGGGGTGGAAGAGACCAGGGTTATACCTCTCTGTAAGGAGAGAAGCCAACAGAGGAAGGCACCTCCTTCATTTTTCAGAGAGGAAAGTTCTGGAGGACTGAAGATGCCTGAGCCCTCCTCCTAATTAAGCCCCTACTAGTCAACTACCAAGAACATAGGAAGCACTTCAGGTAGTTCCCAAGCTAGCAGGTAAATTGATAACTTTCCTTTAGATATTGGGGCTCACTGCTCTGCCTTGACTGAGTTCTCCAGATAACATGTGTGTGACACGCATGTGCACATATGTGTATGTGGGTATGCACACCAGTACTGGAGCTTGAACTTGGCTTTGAACCCTCACTTACCTTTTTTTGCTTATGGCTTGAGCCATCCATGCCCCCGGTCTGTATTTTTGCTGGTTCGTTGGAGATGAGTCTGGTGGTTTTGTGCTTCAGGCCCCAGTGGCCATTTGGAAATAATGACGGTAATTGACAAGTAGTAATTCTCTGGTAAAACATGGGCCCAAAGTTGTATCTTTATTATAAGTTGTCTGGATGCTTTGTAAGGGTCACCAAACATCAGGTTCCTAGCCAGACGCCAGGACTCATGTCTGAAATTCTAGATACTCAGGAGATTGGGATCTAAGGATGGATGATCAAAGCTAGCCCTGAGCAGACAAACCCAAGAAACTCTTATCTCCAACTAACTAGCAAAAAGCTGGAAGTGGAGGTATGGTTCAAGTGGTAGAGACCAGCCTTGAGTGAAAAGCCAAACAAGAGAGAGTGTAAGGTCCTAAGTTCAAGCCCCAGAACCAGCACACAGAAAGAAAGAAAATGACTGTTAAAAAAAAAACAGTGTAAAAAAGACTCAAGTGGTAGAGCACCTGCTTAGTAATCATAGGAGTCATGAGTTCAAACCTCAGGACTACCAAAAAATAAAATAGGCACAACCAACAGATGAACTTTTATCTGGATGGAAAGGATAATATACAGTCCTCAGCACCCCTACACCTGTAAGTGTACCCAGCACACCTTCGGGTTCATACATCCAGAATCAAACCTTTGTCTCTCCAATTTCAATCTCAGCTTTCAGATTCACCCATACCTGAGAGATTCGGTAATTCAACACTTAACTAAACCTCTGGGAGATTTTTCAAGAGACAGAAGACAACATAACAAGATCACTCCGGTGGTTCGACGACAACTTTGGCCTTCTTGACACTTCTTACACTCATCATTTTCCTTGGGCGTTGACAAACTCAGCTGTGGGTTCGCCCATTCCCTTGACAGCTGTGTGCCATTTCCAGCTCACTGAGGTAGACATGGCATTCTTAGTCTCATTCTGGTCACTTCCGTCAGGTCTGAACCCTCCCTTCAGCCCCAAAATGTCTAAACTGCTGGTTTGCCTCCTCTTACTCTTTATTCCTTCTGTCCATACGACATCCAATTCCTTTTTGGAATGGGCTCAGAATTATGCAAGCCAGGTCAATAAGAGTAACTGCTGGATTTGTGGCATGTTACCCATTTCCAGCACATCTGGTTTGCCCTGGTGGGTATCCCCACTCCAGGGGTCTGACTGGGTCCGCCTGCAAGAGTTCATAGATCAGGCCAGAGTCAATAACAGTTTTCTCAATGGTGTAACTAGATACAATGTCTCAGAATGGCCCATTGCAGGAACTATGCACCAACCAGGGCACAACAAATCATTTGACTTGTTAACCACCATTAAGGAAAGTTTAGAGTATATGCCTTCCCAGATGTCGGGAAGTCAAGAATCAGGACAAATACAGTCCAGAAATAAAGAAGAATCACTACAACCACCAGCCCCAAATGAAAAACATCATCGGTTCTATGAGGGGTTTTACCAGATTTGGGATCAGTATATGTGGGTGACTCCCATTATCGGCCAGTTAAATCAAAAGGCTCCACTGTGCTGGGAGCAGCGCAATCACACGCTTGATAACTGGGAGAACGCCACTAGGAAAATGGGCTGGATCCCCGAGTCAGACTGTGAAAGAGTAATTGTCCTCCAGGCCACTGACTGGTTCGCTTCCAACTGGATCGAACCATATAACACCTCTTTGGCGGTCCGTTGGGGGGCCCCTAATGGTACGAAATGGTTATGTGGGGACAATATGTGGCCATGGCTGCCCCCAGGCTGGATAGGCCGGTGCACCATTGGCTTTCCTTGGGTACAAGGACGATGGATACCAACTTTAGAAAAGCCTGCTAATTTGATGATCTTAAAACAGAGGTGGACTCGAGCTGTCTTTAAGTGGTACGACCATCTGGCAAACATTATTCCCACTGTAGGGTTGGAGAATGTCATGTGGCATATAGAATCTCTGACCAAATTTACTCAAAAAGCCTTGAATGACACCGCCCACGGGATCTCTTTGCTCAACTCGGAAATGAAACTGATGAGGCAAGCAGTCCTCCAAAACCGAATGGCCTTGGACATTCTCACCGCCGCTGAGGGAGGCACCTGCGCCATCATCAAATCCGAATGTTGCGTCTACATCCCAGACTACTCAGCCAACGTCTCCGAAATCCTTCAAGACCTTTCTTCCCAAATCAACTCGATGTCCGATTCCTCCCCGAGTCTTAACGATCTTCTGAAATCATGGGGTTTTGATGGTTCATGGTGGAAGAAGTTGCTGTTTGGTCTTGCAGTATTTGTATGTGGAGGAATAGTACTTTTCTGTGCAGTCAACTGTGTCTGTGGGCTCTGTTCTTCTCTAATGTCTCAAATGGCTTCTTGTCCAATGAGGTGGCAAGGGACCTACTGGGTGTCACCTGATCGTGGTAAGGCACAAGCTGAGCACCCCAACTCATCCCTTAATCTGCCAGTATACAATTTACAGACATTTAGGCAAGACCAACGCCCAATGTCAGCTTGAAGAAGCTATAAGAAAACGGACCTGCGTCCCTCAGCATCCCTGCAGGTGAGAGATGAAAATAATTTGGAGAGAAAATAAGGCAGATTAGAGACTAAGGAACTTGAAGCATGGGAATGAGAAGCCTGTAACTTTAAAAAAATAAATAAACATTAGGTTATGGGACAGCGGGATTGGGAGCTCCTCTTTTCTGCCCCCCAGTCTCACTCCCCTATTACAGGTACAACCTACACTGGCTTAATCCAGATTATTGTATTTTGTGATCTGAATAAATATATCATTTTTAAATTAAAAAATGCTTGCCTTTAGAAAACTACCTTGTACAGTCTCTTCTTTTGGTACAAGAAATACACATTAAGTGAACTATGCAACTTTGTGGACAGGGATGGGAGGTGTAAACTGAGGGAAAGTGAAGAAAGGAGTGACATTGGCCAAAAAGAAATGTACTCATGCCGGGCATATGGCTCATGCCTGTAATCCTAGCTATTCAGAAGACTGAGATCTGAGGATTGAGGTTCAAAGCCAGCCTGGGTAGGAAAGTCTGTGAGACTCTTATCTGCAATTAACTACCAGAGCTGTGGCTCAGATTGATAGAGTGTTAGCCTTGAGCAGAAAAGCTTAGGGACAGCGCCTAGGCCCTTCAAGCTCCACAACCAACAAAAAAATAAAAGAAAAAAGAACAGAAAAAGAAAAAGAGCGACAGAGAGAAATGTACTCATTACCTTATTTATGAAATAGCAACCTCTCTTTACCACAATAGTGATAACAAAAATAATAACAAATTAAAAAAAAATAGCTGGACAAACCAGGTGCCGTGGCTCATGCCTGTAATCCTAGCTACTCAGGAGGCTGAGATCTCAGGATCATGGTTCAAAGCCAGCCCAGGTAGGAAAGTCCCCATCAGACTCTTATCTCCAATTAACCACCAGAAAACCAGAAGTAGCACTGTGGCTCAAGTGGCAGAGTGCTTGCCTTGAGCTGAAGAACATACCAACAGTGCCCAAGCCCAGAGTTCAAGCCCCATGACCAACAACAACAAAAAAAAATACCCCTGCTGGAAAAGTCACTTCGTGTGTCCTGCGCCTATACATGCATGCCTCAGCGATCTGGTGCATCTTTGGTCTTTCACTTTGCTAAATTAAACACTGTCAGTCTCTTACCCCATGTCTCAACCTGACATTCTTTTCTGTGTCACCTCAGGACTTGCAGGCCCATTCCCTCTGGGGACCTTCTCACACCCACCTTCTCAGACCACAATGACAGGATTCATAATTTCCTACAACCATCTCCATTCATTGTATTTTGTAACACTGACTTTCCCTTCCCTGTGCGTACTTTTTCCCTTTACTCATTCCTGAATCAGGGTGCTTGCCTTTTAGTTGTTGTTGAGTTTTGGACATTATATATTCTGGGTATTGCTCCCCTATCAGATACATAATTTGGATGTGTGTGTATGTGCGCGTGCCAGTACTGGGGCTTGAACTCAAGGCCTGAGCTTCATTGCTCAAGGCTAGAGCTCTACCACTTGAACCACAGCTCCACTTCCAGCTTTTCAGTGGTTATTGGAAATAAAACTCTCATGGACTTTCCTGTCCTCATTGGCTTTGCACCCTGATCCTCAGCTCTCAGCCTCCAGAGTAGCTGTGATGACAGGTGTGAGCTACTGGCACCCAGTCATTCTTTGGATACTGTTTGTGTATGTGTGGGTATGGTTTTTCAAAAATTTTCACCAAGTACAATTTATACTTTTTTTTTTCCATTTGTCACCTGTGCTCTGCCCCCACCCCAAGAAATCAATGTCAGGTTCCCCGGGGAACAACAATGGGGACAATGGGAAGGAAGACTGGCCCCAGGGCTTTGGTAAGAGCCATGCCCCAGATGCCAGGGCATCCCCACTCAGCCAGGAATGCAGGTGGAGGGGATAACACAGCAACCACATGTTGCTGTGACAATGACATATGGTCGCTTCTAGAAGTCTGAGTTTGTATTTGTGACCCTGGCCCCTAGCTCAGCACCTAGCAGGCAGCTCCTGTCTTCCTTCTTACAGTGGGGCTGGAGCTCACTGGCTGGACACACCACCCTTGGGAATGGCTTGTGATGGGGGCAACTTTATATCCACATTATCCTGCATGTGAAGTTTTCAGAAAAATTCCCAGAAACAGCTAGGTGCCAGTGTCTCCCACCTGTTATCCTAGCTACTCAAGAGGCTGAGATCTGAGGATACAGGTTTGAATCTAGCTTGGGCAAAGTCTGTGAGACTCTGTGTGTGTGTGTGTGTGTGTGTGTGTGTGTGTGTGTGCATGTGCATGTGCGTGTGTACACCAGTTTGGGACTTGAACTCAGGGCCTGGACTTTTTCACTCAAGGCTAACTCTCTACCACTTGAGCCACTGCACTACTTTTGGCTCTTTGGTGGTTTATTGGAGATAGGAGTCAGATCATTCCCTAGGCAACTGTCCATCTATGTCTGCCATATCCCAGTGTCACAGGTGATTGCCCAAGACATCTCCAAATCCAGTACCAGTGTGGTGCAGGCTCCTTTCTCCAGAGGGTGCTAAGGGAGGGAGGGGTCCTTTACCACCACCTGTCCGCCTGACCAATGTGTTCCCATCATTCTCTGGGGGCAACATGCAAATGAGCAGGGTGGAGATGCAAATGAGCAGGGCAAAGATGAAGGAAAACTGAGCCAATCTTTAATCAGGACACTTCAGGGAAGGATTCATGATGACTGATGGAACAATTTAGTGGGATGCCAGCCCCTAGTGGGTCTCCTCCAGGAGAGGCCAAGGCTCAGCAGCCCCAAACTTCTCGAAGGATGAGCCAGCCTGAGGTTCAGGGAGGACCCTGGCAGTCCACTCAGTTCTCAGCCCATTCCAAAAGCTTCTCAGGAACAAGGCCACATCTAGCCCAGGGGCTTCATTCCTATCAGAAGCCCCCCCCCCATCCAGCCCTGCACAACCCCCCACCCAACTGTTTTCGGTCCCCATGCCCAGGTACCAGGAGCTGTTTCAGACGGTAGATTCTTCATCTTCTCTTGAGAGCCCGGTGGTAGGCTGCTGGGGACCAAGATGGGTGGTGGCCACAAGGGCCACAGAGAGTCTGGAAGGCCTGAGGGGGATCGTGGGGGTCTCTGAGGAGCCATGGTCCATCATGGATTGTCCCAAAGTTTCAGTCAAGAGGTTGGCACGCAGAGGCCACCTGGATACCGTCTGGGCCCCAGAGGCAGAGAAGGAGCTCTCTGGAGCGGCAGGTGGCCCAAGAATCCCTAGAGAGGTTGGAGGTAGAGCGGAAGGTCCTGCAGGGACAGATGACCCTGAGGTGGACCAAGGGGGCCGGGAGGCCCCAGACTCCCCTGGAAAAGTGGCCCTTGGCCCCGGAGGGGAAGAAGCTGAGGCCTGGGCTTCAGGAGGCCCCGCGGGTAACGTCTGTGCATTGGACAGATTTGTTCTCAAGAGCAGCTGGAGGAAATGGAGTGCTGGCCTTGAAGGTGATGTTGGTGGGGGGCCCGGGCAGGAACTACAGTTGATGAGGACCTCAGTGTCTCCATGAAGGCTCTGAACAGCTTTGCTGCGCCCCAGGTCTCCCTGAGGGGAGAGCTCCTGCCTTTCTTCTGGAGGAAACGGGGCATCTAGAGGGAGGTGGGAAACAGAGGCACAAGGGTTCTCACAGGTGGCTGACAGGCTTTAGGACAGACACACTCAGCTCCTGCCACCAGAGACAGATAACCAAGAAAGAACTATGAATAGGGAGAGGCATTCACAGTGTGATTTCTCCAAGGTACAGAATTCCTTCCATATTCTCATCAGCAAAAGGAGTATCACAGTATCACTGACTGACAACTGAAGAAAGAGGCCTGAACTCCCACATCAAACTATGGGTTTCGCATGTTAATGGTGCATGAAAGAAAGGTAATAATTTGGAGTTTCTTTCTTTTCTAACAGGATGGGGCTTGAACTCAAGGCCTCACATTCCTGACTTGCTTACTCTGGCGCTCTACCACTTGAACTATGTCTTCAGTTCTAGTTTTTCATTGGTTATTTGGAGATAAGAGTCTCACTGATAGGGGCTGGGAAGGTGGCTCAGTGATAGAGCGCTTGCCTTGCATGCCTGAGGCCCTGGGTTCGATTCCTCAGCTCCACATAAGCAAAAAGAAAAAAGCCAGAAGTGGCGCTTTGGCTCAAGTGGTAGAGCACTAGCCTTGAGCTGAAGAGCTGAGGGACAGCGCCCAGGCCCAGAGTTCAGGCCCCACGACCGGACCCCCCAAAAAAAAAATTCTATCCAATGTCAGGTCTTGCCACCTTAAGCAAGTAAATAAATAAATTCTATTTTTTAAAACTTTTTTTTTGGACTTGGGGTGTAAGTCTGTAGTGGAGAGTTTTTCTAACAAGTGTAAAACCCTGAGTTCTACCCCCAGCACCACAAAAAATATAAATAAAAGTCTTAGCCTAGAGCTTAGCAGGAGAACATAAGAACTCAATACATGGGAGAAAAACAAGGGCAGGAAGAGGCAAAGCAAAAAAAGACAAAAAAGACAGGCTGAGGAAAAGCATGCTGGATCCCGTGAAGCACACTTGTAAAAATGGAAGCGATTGTGTTTTTAAGATCATCCAGAAGATGGCTACACAACTCTGTGAATATGTAAACAGTATGTTCACTTTCTTCCCCCCCCAACCCCCCCCCCGCCACCCTAGTGCTAGGATTTGAACTCAGGTCTCACTCACACTTCTGGCCAGGGGTTGGCCTCTAGACTGAGACCTTTCTGGGATTACAGGCAGGCACCAGCCCACTCAGCTTGTACTATGAGGTGGGCTTTGGCTAACTGCTTTTTCTTCCTAGGCCATGCCTCCAGCCGTGATCCTCCCATTGTGACCTTCCCACCTCTGCCTCCCCAAGTAGCTGCTGGAATTTCAGGCAGGGGAACAACCAGAATCTAGGAGATCAAGGCCAGTTTGGCAACATAAAGGATGAGGGTCGTTAACTGCCAACTATGAATGTGTGGTCTTGAATGAGCCACTCTTCCTCTCTGAGCCCAGATTTCTCCCCAAGTCCTGTGTCTCTGAGAGGAGCAAAGGAAAAAACAGAGATGATGAAATGCCAGGACACAGGGCCGCTTACCTGGGCAGGAGGAGCAGCAGTCCCCCGGGGGCAGGGCAGGGTCCATGCAGGCAGGGTGACAGGGGACCTTCTCACAGCTCACCTCTCCCAGCTGGGGAAATGAGACACTTGTGAGGAAGGCAGAACA